CCGCTCGTGGCCCTGTCCACGGACGCGGGCTGGGCCCCACACGTCCAGGTGGAGAGTCTGCAGGGGAGCCTCTGTGGGAGGGAACGAGGAGGAGTGAGGAGCGGCGCGCTGCCGCCCCTCGACGCAAGGAATGCAGGGCGGCGCAGGCGAGGGAGGGAGGGGAGGCAGAGACCTGGGAAGACCAGAAACCAGGGAGCGAGAGTGCATGCCACGAAGGCGCTGCACCGAGGGGTGACCAAGGCGGTGGTGCCACAGGAGGGTCTGGTGCAACAAAGCTCGACACTTGCAGGGGGCCGCTAGCTGATTTGACGCAGACGCAGACGCAGCTACCTGAGGGGACGCAGTGGTCAGTGTGTACAGACTCGAGCCAGGTGCACGGGTAAACGTGGCCAGGTGTCGGCCCGTCCGAGCACACGTGCAGTGAGTCACTCGCTGACTCGCAGGAGTGAACTGGTCAACCCCCCGATCCTGGAGGTCAGCTCCACTCACCAAGTTCGTAGAGAACGAGGGGAGGTAAAGACCTGACAGCGAGCCAGACGGGGCGGCCGGACACGGCAGAACCGTGGAGTAGTGGGCAAGGACTGGACCCCCAGAGGGGTCCGCCAGGGAGACCGGAACTGGCCGACTGAGCGGCGTGAGTGTGGTGCAGTCGCGAAAGAAGGAGCGGGAAGCTCTTGAGTCAAGGGTGAAGGTGTGCAAGACCGCAGCAGGCGCAGTACCAGAGAGAGCAGACTCACTAGCACCAAGAGCAGCAGCCTCACCAGCACCTAGAGCAGGAGACGCACGAGCACCTAGAGCAGCAGCCTCACCAGTACCGAGAGCAGCAGTAGGCGCTATACCAGGGTCAGGCGGTACGCACAGGTAACAGGCACGGTCAACACTAGTAGGCAATGCATACATGGCAGTGAGAATAGCATCATAGTCAAGAGCAAAGATATCTACCCTCTGTCCAAGCAGCTCCGGCCAGGTAGGGAGCTCAGCCTCGTCGCCAAACACGGTACGCCAGGCGTCGCTCAGACGGGCGAAGCAGCGGGACTGTGTATGACCAAGCGTCCCGCAAGGCTGACCAGTCCGATCACCTGTGCGAATGACGTACGGGCAGCGAACTGTACGCGTAGACCTGCTACTCTGAGCGTACCACTCATGGAGCTGCTGGGACGTAAGTGTCTCGCGTGGACGCCGCTGCAGCTGTAGCTGGCCACTGCCAGACGCCCCCAACTGACCAGCTCCAGTGCTACAGCTACGACGGCTACCGCGACAGCCCCAACTAGTATACCACTCACTAAGCTGCTGGGGCGTGAGAGACTCGCATGAACGTCGCTGGAGCTGCATCTCGCCACCTCCTAGTAGCAGTAGTAAGGCAGGCGCGGCAGGCAGGCAGGCAGGCCGGCAGGCAGGCAGGCAGGCAGGCAGGCAAGCAGGCAGGCAGGCAGGCAGGCAGGCAGACAGGCAGGCAGGCCGGCAGGCAGGCAGGCAGGCAGGTGCTCACCAAAGGCTGGAAGGGCAGGCGTTCGCCGGGCGAGCAGGACCGGCGCTCGGCGGGCGGCGACCAGGTAGGCGAACGACGGCGGCGACGGCGAGGTCGCAACAGCGGCTGCAGAGTAGGGCCGCAGCAGCTGCAGAGGCAGAGTGGGGCCGCGTCAGCGGCAGGTCGGGGCCGCGGCAGCTGCAGGGCGGGGCCGCATCAGCGGCAGGTCAGGGCCGAGGCAGAAGTGGGCCGCGTGCGGCTCGGCGCAGGCTACTGCGGGCCGCGCGCGGGTCGCGCGAGGCAGTAGCGGGCCGCGCGCGGCTCGGCGCGGGCTGCGCGGGCTTGGCGCGGGCTGCGCGCGGCTCGGCGCGGGCTGCGCGGGCTCGGCGCGGGCAGCGCACTGCAGGAGCGGGCTGCGCGCGGCTCGTCGCGGGCTGCGTCGGCTCTGTGCGGGCAGCGCGCGGCAGCAGCGGGCTGCGCGCGGCTCGGCGCGGGCTGCGCGGGCTCGGTGCGGGCAGCGCGCGGCAGCAGCGGGCTGCACGGGCTCGGTGCGGGCAGCGCGTGGCAGTAGGGGGCCTGACGGGCCTGCAAGGGCGGTTCGCGGGCCTGAAGGGCCTGTAGGGGCGTCTCGCGGGCGTGACGGGCCTGCAGGGGCGGCGCGCGGGCCTTACGGGCCTGCAGGGGCAGCGCGCTGGCCTAGGGCAGCAGGAGGCAGCGCTAGGGCTGCTGGACGGCGCGCGTAGTGCAGCACGTCACAAGGCAAGGCAAGGCAGGCAGGTACGTGGGGTAGCGCGGTAACCGCAGCGGTAGGTGGGCCCGAAAAAAAAAAACGGTCCTACGGACCTTAGTGCTCTGATACCATGTTAGAATCTAGCAGCAGGAATGGATAAACTAGCAGCATGCAGGAGTACAAGTAGTAAACCCTAATTGGGTTGTACCCCATATGGGCTACCCCACTACAATATGCAGCATATATGTTTGACACGCCCTGCCCTGCAGCCCGCACGCTACCCTGCCCTGCCGCCTACGCGCCGCCCTGCCCTGCACAGCAGCCCACGAGCTGTCCTGCCCTACTGCCCGCACGCCCTTCAGCCCGCGAGTTGCCCTGCCCTGCAGCCCGCGCGTCGCCCTGCCCCGCAGCCCGCGCGTCGCCCTGCCCTAAAATCCGCGCGCTGCCCTGCCCTGCAGCCTGCTCGCTGCCCTGCCGCCCGCGTGCCTGCGCTGCCCGCGCCCTGCATGCCTTGCTGCCCGTATGCCCTGCTGCTAGTGCGCTCTGCTGCCCACGCACCCTAGTGACCTCTACAGCTACTCCTATAGTCGCTACTACTGTTCCAGCCACAGCCTGCCCTTACAGCGACTACTGCTACTGCTACAGTTTTAGCTACAGAAGTTGCTACTGACGCCCTTGCGTCGCTGCTACTGACTATCACTGCTTATCATGGCCAATATCACGGTCGTAGCAGCGTCTGGGGGAGGACAGCAGCATCAGCCTTAGACTCTATCGCCGTAGCCGCTTCACAAGTGGTTTATTCGGCAGGGCCGCTCTGATCCTGAAGCTTGGGAATCCATGGGTGCTGGAGGTAATGAACAGCAGCGGCAGTCTCGTCGCCAGGAGACTCTCTCGTCTTAGCATCTTAGTGAGTAGGTTACTCAGCGAGGCCGCTTCGGTTGGGGTACTGGTACTCAAGGTACTGCACAGCAACGGTAACAGCATCAGCAGAAGACCCTCTCACCACAACAGCTTCGCGAGTAAGTTTCTCAATGACTCGTCCCTGGTAGTGAAGGGGCTACTAGGTGCCTATGAGCCTGGTAGCACAAGAGCAGCTTCTGTGGAGGCTTTGCACACCTTCAGGCTTGACTCAAGCGCGACTTGCTGCTTCTTCCGCGACTGCACCATAGTCACACCGCTCACTACACCTGTCTCAGTCAGTCTGGCGGACCCCTCTGGGGGCCCAATCGTAGCACATGCCTCCACCACTCTCTTGTGTCTGGCAACCCCCTCAGGTTCCCTCACAGGTTTCCACCTCCCCTCGTTCTCTAAAAACTTGGTGAGTATCGCTGTCCTTCAGGACCACTTTGTCACTCTGACTTCTCTTGGGGATGAGCTTGTGGCGATCTACACGGACTCCCGCACTGGCGAGCACCTTGCCACTATCACTCGGAGCCCTGGTTCTGGCCTGTACACATTGACCACTGCATTTGCACAGGTAGCTGCGTCGGGCCAGTTAGCTGCGTCTTGTTCGTGTCGGCTACTCACGCACCAGACTCTCCTCTGGCACCACCGTCTTGGTCACCCCTCCCTGCCGCGCCTGAGTGACATGCACTCTCGTCTCCTTGTCTCTGGTCTCCCCATGTCCCTGCCCCCTCTCCCACGCTCGCCGGCACCGCCGTGCCTTCCCTGCGTCGAGGGGCGGCAGCGCGCTGCTCCTCACTCCTCCTCGTTTCCTCCGACCACTGCTCCTCTGCAGACTCGCCACATGGACGTGTGGGGCATAGCCCGCATCCGTGGAAGGGACCAGGAGCACTACTTTCTTCTAGTAGTTCATGAATAAATGTGCTACACCGCGGTCTTTCCCTTGCAAAGCATGCGTATGTCCGCAATGTTTTGATCGACTGGATCATCACTAATCGTCGCCAGTTGAGCGCGCGGTTTCAGCAGAACCTCCAGGTCCTGCGACTGCACTCTGACAGAGGCGGTGCATTTTGCTCTAGCCTCCTTGTAGACTTTTGTCATGCAGAGAGCATTGCCCAGTCGTTCACGCTTCCAGCCTCCCCACAGCAGAATAGGATTGCTGAGAGTTGCATTGGTCCCCATTTTCTTTGGTCGTTTGCGGTCCGATACGCCGCGCATCAGCTCAACCTCTGGGCCAGTGTTTCTGTGCCATAGACCTCACCTACACTGCGTTGGATGGGGGAGGTTGGCGATGCGTCGGTGTTTTGGGTCTGAGGCATGCTCTCCTTTGTCCGCAATACCACCACTGGCAAGCTCTCTCCTTGCACTCTCTGCTGCGTCTTTTTTGGCTTCCCCACCGACGCCGCGCCCTGGCTGTTTTACCACCCTGCCTCATGCCGCGTCCTGTCCTCACAGAACATCACCTTTGACAAGTTGGTCTGCTTCAACCGTCTCCTCCCACACGCGCCTTCCCCACTCTCCGTGCCGCCCCTCTTCCTGAACCCATGTCCCCCCCGGTAGACCCCCTTACCCCACGAGGTCCTGCTTCTTTAGGTGTATCTCAGGTCGATCCACCCATTTGGTTAAGCCTTTGAAGGTCTCCTCTGACACCTCTAGCCCAGCTGAGGGGGGTGAGCTTGCTGCTAAAGACACGACGGCCACTCGTCGCTCAACACGCTTATAGACCCCTCCTGGTTTTCCGCCTCGGCTGTCTTCCCCGCCACCGCAGCCTGTTGTTGTGGGCTCTCGTGCTGCTGGTCTTTTGGTGACACTAGGGGCGCGGATTCTGGAGGTGCTGGTCCTAAGGTTGCTGACTCTAGGGGTGCTGAGTGGGCGTGCTGGTTCTGGGGGGTGCCGGTTATGGGGTTGCTGACACCGGAGGTACTGCGGGTTATAGTGGTGGTAGAGTTGTGGGTGCTCCTGCTGGGGGTTCTAGCGTTGGACAGTAGCATCGCTCTCATCGACAGAAGAGCCTCTCACCGCAGTAGCTTCGCGACTGGGTTGTTCGGCGCGGCCGGGTTGCTGGAGCTTCGAGTACTGATGTTGGAGGTACTGGAGCTGCTGGTGCTGGAGGTGCTAGAGCTGGAGGTGCTAGAGGTTCAGGAGCTGCTGGTGCTGGAGGTACTAGAGCTGCGTACTGGAGGTGCTAGAGCTGGAGATACTGGAGGTACTGGAGCTGCGTACTAGAGGTGCTGGACCTGGAGGTAATGGCGGTACTGGAGCTGCTGGAGCTGGTGGTACTGGAGGTGCTAGGGCTGGAGGTACAGGAGCTGCTACTGCCGGAGGTGCTGGAGCTGGAGGTGCTGGAGGTACTGGAGCTGCTGGTGCTGGAGGTACTGGAGGTACTGGAGCTGCTGGTGCTGGAGGTGCTAGAGCTGGAGGTACTGGAGGTACGGGAGCTGCTGGTACTGGAGGTACTGGACGTGGAGGTACTAGCTGTACTGGAGCTATTAGAGCTGGTGCTGGAGGTGCTGGAGCTGGAGGTGCTGGAGCTGCTGGCGGTACGGGTACTGTGCCGCGCCGAGCGTTCTTAGCAGCAAGGATGCAACCCTCATCATGAGGTCCTTGATGTGTCACATGCAAAATCCGATCTAGTTGGATTTTGCTTAAGTGTTGTAACATTTGCAACCCATGCTAGAAACTTCTAGCCACTCCAATCCAAAAGTCAAAGATGCCTTCCATACCACCCAACCAAAGATCCCTTTATAGTCACGTCCCAATAATTGTGTAATGTAGATAAAATCTCAAAATGAGATAGAATCCCCAAACCTTGGAAATATTTTAACATGGGCGATCTTGGTCGGAATAAGCTCTGAACTTCTCCCGCGTGATGAGCATGTAGACTTAAAGAAAAAACACACAGATGATAAAATCAAATAGTCATACACAATGACATATTCTCATGCAAATAATGCTAGCACACATAGCACAAGCACTCGACAGGACGTTAGGATGACAAGCACTCAGAATGGCGTACATCCAATACTCTCCCTCATGTCCCACAGCCTCATTGTTCGATCGCTCAAGCCTGATGGGTGAGAGGGGGTTGGAGGGGAGAGGGGAGAACAAGGGTGACAAGAAGAATGCCATACCCCACACCTGGCCCTTGTTCTCCTTTGCCACTAACAGGGCTGTTCGTTGCCTCATGTCCCACAGTCTCACTATGTGATCACTGGAGCCTGTGGGAAGACAGGGGGTTAGAGGTTGAGGCATAGAAGGGGTGAGAACAGGTGCAGCATGCCATGCCCCACCTTTTGCTTCTTGAGCTCCCTTGCTGCCTGCAGGGCTCCTCACTGCCTCGTGTTCCACAACCTTAATGTGCGATCACTAGAGCCTGCGGGGTGACAGAGAGGGAACGGGTGCAAGGTTGATAACTACCTCATCTACCTCGTTGACACTCGTGACACTGCCCTGGAGTTCGGCGGTGGACAGGAGTCGCAGAAGCTGGTCGACTACGTGGACGGCGACGTTTCCGGCGCCAAGTAGAACCGGATGAGCACGGGCGGCTACGTGTTCATCTATGGGGGGGACGCGGTTTCTTGGTCGAGTATGTGCATCAAATGCGCAACGCTCTCCTCGACAGAGTCAGAGCATGTCGCGGCCGAGGAAGCCAGCAAGGCGGGTCAACGAATGCGCTTCCTCCTTGCAAAGTTCCACCTGCTCGGCGCTGGAAAGACGGTCAATCTTCAGGTGGACAACAATTCGGCAATCATGGTCATTAAGGGCTTGGTGCTGACAGGCAACCTCAAGCACTTTGAGCGACGCTACGACTGGCTGCAACACATGGTGAAGCGCGGGAAGATCATGCTGAAGTACATCCCGACCACTGAGCAGCCGGCCGACTTCCTGACGAAGGCGCTGCACTTTCCGAACTTCAACCAGTGCTCCGTTGCAATTGGCCAAGCGCGCCTGGCCAACGTCGGCGATGTGGACGACAACATGCAGCTGTAGGTGCTGCGCCCTTCTGCACTGCTGGTGCGGTGACGTTGTGCTATATGTTGGGTGCACGCCGACAACAAGTTTTCTCAATAGATATCCGATGCGTGTGGTGGGAGCTCAAGCATGAGTGCGGAAGGGGAGTGTTAACAGGAATGGAGTGTTGGCCCCGCCCTCGCTTGGGCGATGCCGACGTTTTGGTCGATCAGCTCGACGGGCTTCGTTGAGGTGCAAGGGACCGCTGCGGCGATGCCGTCGATGAGTAGCCGTCGACGGAGCAAGTCGACGAGGTGGTCCTCGACCTGCACAGGACAGCCGCAGAGATGGAGCCGTCAATGAGGGGAGCTCGACAGCTGCAGTTGACCGAGCTGGTCGACGGACGGGGCATCGATCAGGAGGGGTCTTCAACGGGCGCAGTGGCCGACGAGGGAGGTCGTCGACCAGGGAGCTTGTTGGGTGGGCGATCGGGTCGACCTGGTTGCCTGCTCGCAAGGTTTTGCGAAGGCACGCGAACGTTGTCGAGGCTGCGATGGCGAAGGTGACTTCGGGATACCATCCCGGAAATGATGTGGCTAATCAGGCGCAGACAACAACCGACGGGCACGTGACGGTGCATGTCGGGCCAATCATCTGCGAGCATCTACGAGCGTGCACACTGCTGCCATCTACAGGTGCAACACTGGACGACCACTTTGCTGCAGGTTGGCACGCCATCGACCTGCTTTGTTGGCAGGTCGCTCTTCTGCAGCGCTGGCGCGGTTCCTCTACGCAATGCTGGCAAGCGGTCGACCATGCTGTGATGGTGGTCGACCTGCCTGACTACTAGGTTGCTAGACTCTGATATGGTCATTCTTGCCATTGCTTGTTCAATTATTTTGTAATTCCATTTTTTCGAATGAAAACTCTTGCCGAATTTCCCTGTAAACATGCAAGTGCTAAGGAATGCAGGCAAAGTTATGATCACTCATAGAACTCGTGCCAACATCCTTAGTCTAGCTCACAAGCGTTGTATAGTGACTCTTCGCAGATGGGGCACATGGGATACCTGAAACAGATGAAGCTATGGCATGGCTGTGGATTTCCAAGGGAAGAAGGGCATATTGGGGGCACATAAGGTCACTGAAAGGGATGAAGCCATGGCACGGCTGTGGGTTTCCAAGGGGAGCAAGAAAGATGGGGCACATGGGATCACTGAAACGGATGAAGCTATGGCATGGCTTTGGGTTTCTAAGGGGAGCAGGGCAGATGGGCCACATGGGATCACGACATTGGATAACAATTAACGAGGGTGTGACTTTGAATCGATGGTCGCTTACTCGAGAGCATCCTCCTGCATGCAATCAAGGCTGACATCCGTATGGCTACCGGCTTGTAAGTAGGTTTGATGGCACCGAAGGAGAAAATTTAGTGCATTGTGGCGCGCTGGGGCAAGCCGACCTTCGATAGTGAAAGTTATAACTTGAGAAGCAGCAAAGAGTATGGTAAAAATGATGATATATTGTGACCATGGGTAGGCACTGCACGCATTACAAGTACTCACCGACATCATGCCGAATGTTCAGCCCCTGTTTAGCGAGCACCAAAAGTGAAATATTGTCCTGGTATCGGCACAGGAAGGCCTGCTAAGCGTGTGTCATGATACATCGCCATGTACATCGCATGTGTCATGATACATCGCCAAAAAAACATAATAATAAAAGAGGTAGTATAAAAGATGCCCCAGGCAGGGCAAATCCTGGACAGTATCAATGTCCATGCATATTTCGGTTGCAAATCTTAGTTATCACACTCACTCTTCGTAATTATTTGATATGAAAAGTCACCACATGCTTCCACACTCCAATGTATAACACACGCAGAATGTCTGGCATCAAGGATAAATATGTGTTGCCCCAGGGTGTTCTCGAAAACCCAAAGCCCCAAAGGGCAGACTGTTGTGCTGAAAAGGAGGGTAGGGATTTAGGCAGTCGTGCTACCTTTGTAACAGATGACGAATTTTCCCAAGTCATTGCAAATGTGGAAGATATGGAGATTTGACAGACTATGAATATTTCTGAAAACATGTTATAATTCGAACAAGGTAGAGTGCCCAATATAGAAGCTAGCAATTATGAGCAATACTATAAGAGTTTACATTACCACTCAACTATCTACCCGAAACTCGTACATCGTGTCTCACCACAAGGGGGATGGACGAGTATTTATGGTCTTCATCCGCATCGCACAGGAGTTTAGTCTTCCCGATTACCATCTGAAGATGGACATGCCTCGTATCCTTTGATATATTGCAAAGGGAGCATAGCCTTGCTGACTTTAGAAACAGCGAGCATGACACCCTACACGTCTCATGGTTATCACTAATGTATGCATAGAGTAGTGTCCGCACCTTGTGCGGAACACCCCAAAGGTCCACCATTAGATAAGTGGGATGTGCAACCATGGTAGAGGTACGATGAGAAATGAGAGCATATAGCTCTGTTCATGGTCAAAGAGTCATAATCCCACATACGTGAATCAAAACCCTCATTCTCTGCCCACTCACCAATCAAGGATAGTCTACTTACACTACCTGTCAGCCACCCTACTCCACGACACCAATCTATCTCGCCATTTCGGCCCCTGATCTCGCTGCATCCTTTTATCTTATTTAAATTACTTATGCTTTCTTGCCGTCAAGAAGCCCTGCCGTGGTGCAATTGCATATTTTCACATGCTTACTGTTTAGATGTTTTATGTAGTTTGCAAAGAATAATGGTCATGAACTTTTGGAACTACTCCACAATTTGTAAAGGATCCATATGCTTACCAGGCTCCGGCAATAAAGTCACAAGTACTTTTCCGGCGCCACGCCACCGTCTGTGCCACGGAATGTTGACGCAGAAATATACACTGGCCGAATGCGGGTCCTCATTGTGCCATCGAGGGTCGTTTGGTCACTTGCAAGAATCACCAGGCAGATGACTTCGCCATCTGGCACATGGGCCTGAAGGAGTGAATGTAGGTTGTTAGTATATCACCTAGATCGTGCTCGCATATACTGCCCAAACCCAAATAGCATGGGGGTTTTCATGAGCTCAAGTTAACCAGACTTGTCATTTGCATCTCTATTGACACTCCATAATCCATGTGTTTTCACCAAACATACGTGCCCTTCCATCCAAAAGGTTGCAATACTTGGTGCTGTATTAATTGGGTGTCCATTTTCATCTAGACGCGGGTTGGCCCATAGCTGGAAGCCCGAAGAGTTGATTGGATCTTATGGTAAAAGGATACTTAATAGAATGGGGAAAGCAAAGATTGTATCGGATATGGGAAGACAAATCTTTTGTGTGTGTGTATGTGTGTGTGTGTATGTGTGTGTGTGTGTGTGTGTGTGTGTGTGTATATGTGTGTGTGTGTGTGTGTGTGTGTGTGTGTGTGTGTGTGTGTGTGTGTGTGTGTGTGTGTGTGTGTGTGTGTGTGTGTGTGTGTGTGTGTGTGTGTGTGTGTGTGTGTGTGTGTGTGTGTGTGTGTGTGTGTGTGTGTGTGTGTGTGTGTGTGTGTGTGTGTGTGTGTGTGTGTGTGTGTGTGTGTGTGTGTGTGTGTGTGTGTGTGTGTG